AATGGCTAACATATAATATTTATTTAGAATGCAATCTGCAAGTATTTTTCCAACGTTTCAGTTATTTCTGTGACCAATGTATCTGAGAATAATATTTAAGCATATTTCTATTTGTTGTTAGGATTCAGTGAACGGAATAATGCCTTCCCCATTTCACTGCGTGCCTGATATTCATCGTAGCGAATTCTATTGATCATACACAGACAAACTCCTGACAGAAAGATGTAGATTCAAATCAGTTGATGTCTTTTGAAGTTTTATGACAATAATGGTGACATTATACTATAGTAGTAAGTACTTCATTTAAAGCTTTTTATTGTTAATCAATCATACCTGACACTACTACAAAGGTGAGTCATCTTCAACATCAACCTATACGTGCCCATTGCTGAGCAAAGGCCTCTTCTCAAACGGAGAAGGCTTGAGCATTAATCACCTCGCTTGCTCAATGCGGGTTTTCGATTTCAAACTTATAATTAGAAATTAAAAGTCCAGGTTTCCTCGCGATGTTTACCTTCACCGTATGTCAGTGGTGTTCAAATAATCATAGAAAGTACATATAACTCGAAAAAAGTTACATTGGTACTTGCCAGGTGTCGAACCCACCTCCGAGCCACCACGACCGCCAAAGGTGAGTATAATAGATAATATCCAGTGCTTTTCAAAATATATAACAGGCCCAAATATGGCCCTCCTGCCTTCCCAATGCTTACGTATCCGAAACCCTAATCTCCAAAAAATCGGTAACGCATTCGTAACTCTTTTGGTGTTGCGGGTGTCCAAGGGCGGCATGGATTACTTACCATCAGGTTAGTTTACTCGTTTGCCGAAATATCTGAAAAAGACATATGAAAATGCTGAAAGTGGATATATTTAAGTGTACATAATAATATTCAATTAATACTGAAAAATACAGCAAAAATTAGTATATACCGTTTCATCTTTTAATCCGCCGGCGACGGTCAGGTGCTCCTAAACGGTCCGGAGAGCCCGACGTTTGACATTATAATGTTATTGTCCAAACTCGATTTGTGAACAAATTAGTTTTTCCCGAGCTAAACCGATTCATCTCTAGCGGGTAATATCAACGAGCTTAACCTGTACCAATTAAATTATTCAGTGGAAACCCTCCTGTATTCCTACCTACATCTTTGTCGAAGTAGATTGACTGTGAATATAAATGTTAGCTTTGAAGTATAAAGATTGTAACGAAGCCCTTTTAAAAAAAGGAAAGGTGATTGGTTTGGTCATTGAACTTATTCCTTTTTTTAAATCGAAATGCCAAATCAAAATACCTGTGTATATGTATGACCAGATCGATACCACGGCCTCACAGAATACCAGCGTGAAGCAACACGTTGTGTATCGCCGTGTGAGTAGGGTTACCGGAGGCCCTATCCTAGAATGCCTAAGAACCTCCAACAGGAGAGCAACGCACTTGTCGTAACTTCTTTGGTATTACTTACCATCAAGCAATAAGATGTCAAAGTCAAAGTCAAAATAATTTATTCCAACTTAACCATAAATAGGTACTTTTGAAACGTCAAAATAGAAAAGTAGTCTGTCAGTCTGTTCGTCTTTGAAGCTAGGTGCTCATTCCAAATTGTAGATTCGAATGGAGAGGAACGAGCAAGAAACGCCACCTTTACTCTTTAAAAAAAATTGTTTTACAATTTCAATAATATAACATTTAGTATACATTATTGTACCCTTATGTGAGAACAATGCAGAGACAAGTTGTAAAAAAAAGAACAAATGATAGGACATATCATAAAATTTTAATCCTTTGTCGTCTCGAACATGGCGCTCACATATGCGTACTCACAATCTTTAAGAGTGCTTCTATATAAACTCTTTGTATATATAAATTAAGGATGCATTATTTTTGAGAATTTTACTAACTACTGACTATATTTGAGTATTGTCCAGTGGAGCCGAATCAACACGCTGCCAGGCATTCCTCAATATAATCTGAAAGTTTGTAGTATGCCTGTCTACACAATTCGCGTTTAATATAAGTTTTAAAAGGACATGGCCAACTTTTGTATGGGCGTTTGCATAGTTATTGAATTCAATGTACATCAATGATTTTTGGTGTTTACATTCGTGAATATTATTAAATTAAATTGCAAAAAATAAAACACATGAAGAACTCGTAATTATAACAAACAAGACGAAAATAGTTTCACTAAACCTTTAGTCAGATTATTCAAAAGTCAAAAATCATTTATTCCAATTAGACCTTTACAGGCACTTTTGAACGTCAAACAAAATTTAAAATAAAAAATAGTGTCAGTCTGTCGGTCAGTCCTCTTAGTGAAGCTATTTGCTCGTTCCAAAGTGTAGATTCCGATGGAGAAGAACGAGCAAGAAACTCCATGGTTACTCTTTTTAAATCAGTTTCACATACAGATTCCTTTTACAAACAGTTGGTTCAATTATGTGAGAACAGTGTAACACTAATATTTATTCAAATATAAAAATAAAGTAACCTTAAGGACAATAGACAGTCTGGAGCTGACCAGTCCCAACTGACGGCGCTCGTTCACGAGCATGACACGTACACCAGCATCGCCCAACTCAACCATATTATAGGGAATTAAGCGATCCAGTGCGCATGCCACCGCCAGTGTGACCTTTCAGTGAGCATGACAACTCCAAGCTGTTATAAGGACCGACATTCTGCTAGTCTAACCAATTATAATAGGTTACAGGGCACTCACATTTACAAATTTATCAAGTTATAGTTATACAATATACTGCAATTTCACTAAAATGAAGAAGTCCCGTTCAAGCAAAATCCATTGGAACGTTATTTATTTTGGTGTACGTTTGCTATCCTGTGGAGCAGGACCAGCATGTCTCCAAGCATCTTTATCTACAATGTAATCATTCAGTGTGTAGTATGCTTTTCTACATAAAGTTTTCTTTACACATAATTTAAAATTTCTTTCATTTAATTGTTGTATTTCGCCTGGGATTTTGTTATAACATTTAACACAGAATCCCATGAACGACTTATGTACCTTTGCCAATCTAAATAATGGCTGACATAATCTATCTCTATGTCTAGTTTGATAATTATGTCTATCTGACACCTTATCGAATATTTTTAAGTTTTTCCTAACATACATAATGTTTTCATAAATAAACTGACATGGCACGGTCATAATATTGATCTCTCTAAACTTTTCTCTAAGAGACTCACGACGCTTTAGATTATAAATAGCTCTGATGGCACGCTTTTGCAAGACAAAGATAGACTCAATGTCAGCAGCCTGTCCCCACAACAAGATGCCATACGACATAATGCTATGAAAGTAGCTGAAGTACACCAGTCTTGCAGTGTCCACATCTGTTAGCTGTCGGATCTTCCAGACAGCAAATGCTGCAGAGCTCAACCGTCCTGCCAGAGATGTGATATGGGGCCCCCATTGTAGTTTGTCATCTATGGTTATACCCAGAAAAGTAGTTTGTTTTACAAATTCCAATTTATTACCGTTTAATAATATGTCACATTCGGTACTTTTAACATTTGGCAAACTGAATCGTATACATTTAGTCTTTTTGTCGTTTAGGACTAAATTATTAATTGTAAACCAATTATGAACCTTCGTTATAGCATTATTTACGTCGTCATAATTATCTGTCCGTCTATTTATTTTAAAAATCAACGATGTGTCATCAGCAAATAATACCATTCCCGGTTCACGTTGAAATAAATGAGGTAAATCATTTATGTACACTAAAAACAGGAAAGGACCTAATATTGAGCCCTGTGGTACGCCCATAGATATGCTAGTACCCTGGGAGTTCACTTTATTTACTTGTACTTTGAACTGCCTATCCTGCAGGTATGATTTTAATAAATTGAGAGATACCCCTCGAATGCCATAGTGTTCCAACTTCAGCAACAGTGTCGTGTGTTCAACGCAATCAAAAGCTTTAGACAGGTCACAAAAAATCCCAATAGCGTCGTTTGACTTTTCCCATGAGGCAAAAACATGCTTAAGTAGAGCTACACCGGCGTCAGTTGTGCATCGACCTTTGGTAAACCCATATTGTTGGTCATGAAAGATGGAATTTATGTTAAAGTGTCGTAGCATCTGAGAAAGCATTAGCTTTTCAAACACTTTACTAAGCACTGGTAAAATTGATACCGGCCTATAATTATTGGGATCATTGTCATCGCCAGATTTAAACAACGGAACTACCTTGCTAAGTTTCATCAAATTTGGAAAAACACCCTGATCTACACTTTTATTAAAAATTACAGCTAAGTAAGGCGCTATAGCTTCTATAAAAGACCTACACACCACAACAGACATTCCCCATAGATCCTCTGTAGACTTAACTTTTATGTCTTTAAACGCCTTTATTACTGATTGCGGGTCCGTGTACTGAAATCGGAAGCCAGAACGGCATTCTTTAACATTTCTTTTAAGAAGACTAATAGAAAGTGCCGGAGATGATTCTAAGTCTTTCGTAGTTTTAATGGGGATATTCTTGAAAAAAAATTCGAATTCTTGGGCAACTTCTTGATTAGCATTAACTCGTCCATTATCCGTATTTAAATTAATTTTTTGTCAAATTATTGGACATAAGTGCACGAAATAACATTTTGCTTTTAAAAACCATGGCGTTTTATTTATTTATTTATTTATTTATAAAATAAAACAAAAGAATATGTATAAAGAATAATTATTTATTTATTAAGGAGAACAAATAAAATAAAACTACGTAATAATTCACTTTTATATTTTTATTATAAAGTGTATTTTATTATGTTTGTGTATGGAATGTACGTTTCTTTAATATATATTCTGTATAATTGGGTAATAATATGGTAGTACTTTCCATTTGAAGCGGCCTGCTTAAAACAGGTGGTAATGGCGGTGGCTCTGGTGGGCTAACCACTTGAATATAAGGGGCTGCTGCATTGTTGTCCGAACCCAATTTTTTTTTATTACTTTTAAAGAAGGCTTACAGACTAATTACATAATATGGGTAAACAAATAATCTTAAATATTGCTAATAACAAGCCTCCACATATTGTATATGTTATTATGTTATTGTTGTCATAGGACTATAGACATCTCAGACTAGAATTCCTGCAAGTTTCGTGATAAGTCCTGCACTGTCTGTCTATTTGCCCGCTTACAGCACACATGACAAACATAGTTGCCTCTTGAGGTCTGAAAATAAACCCCAGTTAGAATAAACACATGTTTTCAAGTTTTATGTTATTGTACAGTGAGAAGTATTATGTTACAACATGCCTATTTTAAAGAAGTCTATGCAAACATGGAAAATACATAAAGATAGATATTATAATCACACATACCTACTATGAGTACTTTTTTTTATAGATTAATATAGATAAATACAAGTACATATATAAAACAATGAATAAAAAACAAAATGCTTACCACATTAATAGTATTTTGTGATATTAGGCCAGCTAGCAATGGAGAGTCCATACTGACATTACGGTGTCTTATTTTTCGAACCGATTTTCCACCACCAAGGCAAGCCATGTTATGCCCCAGTAGTCTCTCATGTTCACCAGCCTCAGTATTCAATAATAAAAGGGTGGTTGACAAATCAATGTCCCCAGAGGCAACTAAAAAAAAGATGCACTGTTTAAAATCGCATACCATGATAAAACATAAAAAAACAGACTAAGTATTATACTATTCCGACTTCATACCTGGGTTTGAGCTGGTTAACCAACGTGAAAGTTTTGTTTGATGGTGTGCAGAAAGCGAGGATATAAGACGCCTCTGCAGCCTTTGTACGCCTATTCCACAGTTGATGCACCTCATCGTAATCCACAAAACAAATCCAAAACGCAAAACAGTTACTCCAGTATTATTAGCAAGGTTAATAAAAAAAACACGCTGTCAAAAGTGTCAAACACGTTCCGTTTCGTTTAAGTTTTTTTTTTGGTGAATTGGATAAAAATAAGACATAATATTATTATAATATGAGTATATTTTAAAATGCAACTAAAACCAAAGAATACAGTTTCGTATGAATAAAATGTTCCTAGTGTAATGCATTTGTCGATCATATCACACGTTTTCTACGAGTGTAGTTTAAGACACGTGGTTTGGAATTGGAACGTCTTTTTATTTATCTTTCTCTATGGACTATTATGGCGAAACTTGACAAACCATAAGTTGATTTTGTTGCATTACTTTTACATTTTTTTAATAATAATTGTCAGGTCTGGAGAGGCTAAAAACTACGTAATAATTCATATTTCTATTTGTATTTTACAGTGTATTAATTTTGTTCGTGTACGTGGAATGTACTTTTTTGGCCATGTCCTTTCTTTCGTTAAAATTCAACACACTACTTGGAATTTTATTGTACCAATTTACACAGAACTCCATAAAGGGTTTCTGTACTTTGGACAGACGGAATCGTGGCACAGCCAGCCTAACTTTCCCTCTTGTATTAAAATTATGTCTATCGCTTCTTTTTTCAAATAATTGATATAAATCATCATGATACATCTCAAGCTCAGTTTTAAATAGAAATGGCAAGTCATTAACATACACTAAAAAGAGAAACGGACCCAATATTGAACCCTGCGGAACGCCCATTCTTATCTCAGAGCCCTGTGAGTTAGAACCATGAACTCTCAGCTGCCTATCCTCTAAATATGATTTTAGTAGACGGAGTGCAGTATGTCTAATCCCGTAATAATCAAATTTCAGCAAGAGTTTTTCATGATCAACGCAATCAAACGCTTTTGAGAGGTCGCAAAAGACACCAACAGCAACCTGTGCTTCCTCTCAAGCACCGAATACTTCCTTTATCAATGTGACACCGGCGTCAGTTGTACAACGACTTTTAGTGAAACCGTATTGTTGGTGATGGAAGATGGTATGTTTATCAAAGTGATGAAGCATCCGAGATAGCATTAACTTTTTGAACACTTTGCTAAGAACCAGCAGAACAGAGACAGGCCTATAGTTGTTTGGTTTTTTAGTGTCACCGTTTTTGAATAATGGAATAACTTTTCTGTAACGAACGAAAGTAACGATTACTTATATTATATGGATTTCGCAGAAGGACTCAACACGCCAAAGACGAACCCTTCTAGGAATCTTCTACGAATACTTAGATGAGTAAATAAGTAGGTATATATATCAAATACTATTATTATTTATTTTCCTAGCTCGTTCACTTGAATAACAGTTACCTCGTGCAGGTTATTTATTATTCTTGGGAAAATTAAACACGATTTCTATGAAAATGGATAATATTGTTCATGATAGATAAATAGGTAATGGTTATGTATTTATGGCGAGCCAAATTGAAGGTATGTAGGTATGAGTGAAAACAAATCTCAGATTATTAATTAAAGTTTACCTGTAATAAAATAAATATAAGCTTAATTTACTTTGTTATATAATAATTACAATTTCCCATGCGACTTCGCAATTTTTTTCTTTAAGTTTGCTAAGAAAGGAACAGTTTGTAAAATGGTATCTATATGAAATTGGATTTCTCTCCAGCTCCTATTAAACAGCATTTCATCAATACTTCATAATGTCTGCTTTGAGACTATAAGAAGAAGAATAAAAAATTGGACAATTAAATGAAAAAGACTATACATATAATTGCTATGGTACTTAACAACATTTATTTTGCACTTACGCAAACATCATCGTCATCATCATCAGCTTATAAGTGCCCACTGCTGAGCAAAGGCCTCTTCTCATACGGAGAAGGTTAGAGCATTTATCACCACGCTTGCTTAATGCGGGTTGGCGATTTCAAACTTATTATTAGAAATAGGTATAGTCCAGGTTTCCTCACGATGTTTACCTTCACCGTATGTCAGTGGTGTCTAAATAATCATAGAAAGTACATGTAACTCGGAAAAAGTCACATTCATACTTGCCAGGTTTCGACCACACCCTAATGTATGAGAAGCGGACTCCTTAACCTCCGGGCCACCACGACTTACATTAGCCTACATATTATATATACTACGACCCGCTCCAGCTTCGCACAGGTGCAATACTGATACTAAATTTCTCCATTATTTAATGGATGAACCATTCTCTTTAATCACTCTGTCTTTTAAAAAAACTGCATCAAAATCTGTTGCGTAATTTCAAAGTTTTAACCAAACATGCTTAGGATAAAAAGACAGAGAGAGCGGCTTAGTTGTATACTATTTATAGATGTCCATCCTTCTTAAAATACTGTTAATTGTCTTCAAATATCAAACTATGTAGGTCCATTATATAGGTACATTAGTCAATCTTCACTATTACGGTGTATGAGGCAATGCCTGTGCCTAGATCCGTTCACAGTCGAATGGGCAGGTGCGGAGTTCTATAGCCTGAACAACTAAGCCGAGCCATCAAAGCACCCGAGCTCGTATTAACCTTTATGCTTTCTTCTGTGCTCTAAAGAAGTCACTGCAAATTGGACCTAATTAGAATCTGTTGTATATTAAATTTGTTAGATTAGGTTTATAGAGTGTTTTCTTTTTTGATAATATGTATGTAACCTTAGATATTGGCGATGTTTGATGCTGTAAAGGATTATTCAAAATGTACTTCATTATTTCTTTTAATATGATTAAAGAATGGAGCCATCGGTTTTATCAGTATTATACAAAATTAAACAAAAATACCTTATTAAAATTATAAGTTTATTAGACAGGTACTTGCATTGCTCAATAAGTTTTCTTTATAGACAGCTTTTATTTTTTAGTTTTTATTTGTTAAGATTTAAAACGTAATAAAGTATGCTAAGTAGAAATAACTAAATTAAAAATTATAATGTTTTTTTTTTATTTAGTTAATTCTACGAAACGAAATCATCTCGTTATTATCTTCTAATAGGTAAATCTTTCACTAGATAATATTTTCTTTACTTAGCAACTAAACGTTTTTCGAAACTATAGGGGGTGACTAAAGGTAACTAAAAACTATAGGTAGAGTTTTACAACCAATTCTTCGTAAGGACATGGCCAAAAAAGTACATTCCACGTACACGAACAAAATTAATACACTGTAAAATACAAATAGAAATATGAATTATTACGTAGTTTTTAGCCTCTCCAGACCTGACAATTATTATTAAAAAAATGTAAAAGTAATGCAACAAAATCAACTTATGGTTTGTCAAGTTTCGCCATAATAGTCCATAGAGAAAGATAAATAAAAAGACGTTCCAATTCCAAACCACGTGTCTTAAACTACACTCGTAGAAAACGTGTGATATGATCGACAAATGCATTACACTAGGAACATTTTATTCATACGAAACTGTATTCTTTGGTTTTAGTTGCATTTTAAAATATACTCATATTATAATAATATTATGTCTTATTTTTATCCAATTCACCAAAAAAAAAACTTAAACGAAACGGAACGTGTTTGACACTTTTGACAGCGTGTTTTTTTTATTAACCTTGCTAATAATACTGGAGTAACTGTTTTGCGTTTTGGATTTGTTTTGTGGATTACGATGAGGTGCATCAACTGTGGAATAGGCGTACAAAGGCTGCAGAGGCGTCTTATATCCTCGCTTTCTGCACACCATCAAACAAAACTTTCACGTTGGTTAACCAGCTCAAACCCAGGTATGAAGTCGGAATAGTATAATACTTAGTCTGTTTTTTTATGTTTTATCATGGTATGCGATTTTAAACAGTGCATCTTTTTTTTAGTTGCCTCTGGGGACATTGATTTGTCAACCACCCTTTTATTATTGAATACTGAGGCTGGTGAACATGAGAGACTACTGGGGCATAACATGGCTTGCCTTGGTGGTGGAAAATCGGTTCGAAAAATAAGACACCGTAATGTCAGTATGGACTCTCCATTGCTAGCTGGCCTAATATCACAAAATACTATTAATGTGGTAAGCATTTTGTTTTTTATTCATTGTTTTATATATGTACTTGTATTTATCTATATTAATCTATAAAAAAAAGTACTCATAGTAGGTATGTGTGATTATAATATCTATCTTTATGTATTTTCCATGTTTGCATAGACTTCTTTAAAATAGGCATGTTGTAACATAATACTTCTCACTGTACAATAACATAAAACTTGAAAACATGTGTTTATTCTAACTGGGGTTTATTTTCAGACCTCAAGAGGCAACTATGTTTGTCATGTGTGCTGTAAGCGGGCAAATAGACAGACAGTGCAGGACTTATCACGAAACTTGCAGGAATTCTAGTCTGAGATGTCTATAGTCCTATGACAACAATAACATAATAACATATACAATATGTGGAGGCTTGTTATTAGCAATATTTAAGATTATTTGTTTACCCATATTATGTAATTAGTCTGTAAGCCTTCTTTAAAAGTAATAAAAAAAAAATTGGGTTCGGACAACAATGCAGCAGCCCCTTATATTCAAGTGGTTAGCCCACCAGAGCCACCGCCATTACCACCTGTTTTAAGCAGGCCGCTTCAAATGGAAAGTACTACCATATTATTACCCAATTATACAGAATATATATTAAAGAAACGTACATTCCATACACAAACATAATAAAATACACTTTATAATAAAAATATAAAAGTGAATTATTACGTAGTTTTATTTTATTTGTTCTCCTTAATAAATAAATAATTATTCTTTATACATATTCTTTTGTTTTATTTTATAAATAAATAAATAAATAAATAAAACGCCATGGTTTTTAAAAGCAAAATGTTATTTCGTGCACTTATGTCCAATAATCTGACTAAAGGTTTAGTGAAACTATTTTCGTCTTGTTTGTTATAATTACGAGTTCTTCATGTGTTTTATTTTTTGCAATTTAATTTAATAATATTCACGAATGTAAACACCAAAAATCATTGATGTACAT